GTTACTTGGCAGCAGCTGGCTAGGGAGGAAGATGATGTCCTCAGGGATGTCTGCTGTGTGTTTCCATGAATTAATGAAGTAGAGAAATCCCTACCTTACCAGTGTCTGTTTTCCATTATTATGCATGAATGATAATATTGAATAATGTATGATAACTTTGAATTAACATCATTGGTTTAGAAAAATGGGATGTATACATTTCAGGGAATTTTATATATGGATCTCTCTTATTAACAGTACAATCCTCCAGGTTCCAAATCACTATAGAGCATAATGGAAAAAGAAACAATTCTGACATTTTCCTATCAAATCACATATTCACTGTATTACAGATCCACTTTTATAGCCCCATTTAACCTGAGTTACTTTTTAAGGCTCCCCTTCACCAAGTATAAAGTCAGAATAAGTTACTACCCTCTTATTAACTTTTTCATGCAAGTATGGCTTTGATACATTTTAGGAGGGGCTGTTAAGCCAATTTCATTCAAACCCTTAAACCCAAACTCCTATTTGTCCCACAAACAAAATGCAGTCATTCCTTCTCAACAGGTGACTATCTTAACTCATTCCACTATATGTTCTAACATCCCTCCTTCTCCCCTCCCTGTTAACTGCCCCCCTCTTACCATTTCCCCCTTAGTACTGCCTGTCTTCTACTATTCTCTCTCGGGTTCCTTCTTTCCCTTTACCTCCTTAGTTTCCTTCAATTTTCCTGGTTCCTGCAGTTACATCAGGGGAGAAGGAGGGATATACAAAGAACTATGGGAAGAAAGGGGAAGAAGGAGCTCAAAAGAGGTGGGATCATAGCATACAAAGTTATCCAGGGAGAAATGGGGGAAATGGAGACATATTAAATGGAAAGGATGGGGAGGGAGGATAAGACAGGGAGAGAAAGAGGAGACAGTATTTCACTATGAATTTTAACAAAAGACTATCTAAAAAGTGTATTTCAAACTTTTCCACCTTTATCGTATTTTGTGCACTTCTAAACATCTAGAAAGAGTATATATTTCAAATAGGCCTTAAATTTGTCCACTAAATACACAGTATTGTTGGATAAACTATACACATGTAACAATGGTTATATATGAAAGTGTCTTCCAATAAGAGCATCTGTCTAGGACTTCAATTCTTCCAACTCCTCTCCTATATCACATGTGATATAGGCACATGTCACTTACATAGGATGCAATTTCACAGCCCTTTTCAAAAGTCAGCCTTTCTCTGAATTTTAACACAAAGTATACAAAATGTGTTAGTTTACTAACTCTACTTTTGTCATATACTGGCAACCTCTTTAATACCTAGAGACTAGATATCATAAAATTAGGACTCCTTTGTCCACAGTATGTACAGTATATATAGTGAAGTTTAATGAAATGCCTGCAACACACAGGGCGATGGGTTAACTAATCATTTCTAGGACACACTGATGAATTCTTTTGCAGTTTCTTACTTTTACCACCCCCCCGCCCTCCCCAATCCTGAACAAGCACAACCAGTACACTGTTCTCTGAGGGAGTTTAACAGTTCTATTTCCAAACAGTATTTCCCAAGGTTTTACAAACTGTTTACGTATTATCCTATTATTTCTACTTTAAATACATCACACACTTTAAAGCATCTAGAAAGCCTAGCTATTTCAAGTAAGCATGCATTTGCTATGCTCACAGCTCTGGTAAATAAAGTTGTACACACAGCAAAGGTTATAATCTGAGGTATATTCTAAATGTAACCACTTGGGCCTTGGCCCACTCTCTTCTCCCCCTCTCTCTGCCTTCAAACCACTAGACCAAGTATACACATTGGTAATGCAGAAAAAAAAAAGCTGAACAGAATCATATCCATAAAGTTTTCGTATGAATTTCAACAGTGTATGAAATGTGCTAATTTTACTACTTTGTCATATGCTGGCAACCTCTTTAACAACTAGAGACTAGATGCTGAAAAATTTGGACATATTTGCCCATTACATACAGTATATACACAGTGAAACAAACCCCACAAAACGTACAGAAAACGGCATCGGAAAAGGTCCAAGCATGAACAACCAACTAGCATGTTATGTTTTGCAACTGCACCCTTCCACCTCCTTCAAACCACTGAACACCGACAGACCACATACTGCTCACAGAGGTGGTTTCCCAATCCCATTTCCCCAAAACTTATTATTATATATGAATTTTGGCAAAAAAGATATTTACATAGTGATATCTTGCTGTCTCTACATTTAACATACGTTGGGCACTTATAAACATCTAGATAGACTAGATGTTTCAAGTAAGGACCATTTATCCACTACGTACACAGCAGTCCTCAATAAACTGCACACATGTAACAATAGTAACAGTTTAAAAATGTCTTCAAAATAGGAGTATTCTGGTCCAGAACACTTCTATTCTCTACCAACCAGTTGACTAGAATGCTCAAAACTTTGAGAAGGCAATCATTCTTAGGAATTTTAACAGAAAATGAACAAAATATGAGTTTGCTAACTACGTTTGTCATACACTGGCAACCTCTTTAACATCTAGAGAGACTAGATGTTGGATGTCAGGACTCCTTTATCCTTTATGTACGGTATATTCACAGCAAAGTCAAACAGAATGAGACGATGAGTCCTCTTCCTCCCTGTAAGCACGCTGGCTCAGAGCCTGAACTTCCTTCCCTGGGGACCAGGGCACAAACGTATGCAACTCAAAACTGGTTTGGCTATTCCTCCCCAAACAGTATTTCTACATGAATTTTAACAAAAAGTGATGTACAAAATGTGTTATTTTACTACTTATAAAATATGTCAGGCACTTCAGCACATCTAGAAAGATATTTCCAAAAAGAGTATTAACTATTGTCAAACACACACATACAACATAGATGTACATACACATGCTGTAATGAATATGATGCATACATAACCCAATAGTTATTCTACAAAAGTCTTCTCCACGTGACCAGGCTGACACTGGACCTCCTCTTCCTTCTTCATCTCCATCTTCTAAGTTACTAAACACAGTCCAGTGTCGCTCCTGGAATCTTTCGAGAGGCGGCCTAACAATTCCATTTCAAAGTCACTTCCAGAAGACATGTCTACGACTTTTCTATGAAACAAAACAACTGGGCACATACGTGTCATTTCCTACCTCTACTTCATTCCTCTGTAATATCTACATCTAGATGTCCAGATGTCGCTAAAATTTTTCAAAGGTTGGCAAAAAGGTTGAGAGTGGCTTTTTCATATTATATACACAGGGCTTCGACCTTCGGGAGCATTTCCAGCTGGCCTGGTGGGCTAAGTCGCATCCAGCTTCTTCCCGGCAGAGGGGGGATACCAGCCTAGGACCAGTCAATCCTGCCACCATGAGGGGCTCTGCCATGTGGGCTCCACTCACCTTCCAGAACCCTTAAGGCCTTTGTACCCAGGGCTGCCACCACCCAGAGGCCAGTGGCTGCAGACCTGCCTTCCCTTCTCACCCCCTCTTGCTCTCGGCTGGAACTCTGGATCCTTAAATTTACAGACAAGTATTCCAGTCACCACCCAAAAAGTAGCTTCTTTTTCATCAGACTGAAATTATTACAGAATTATACCACAGATTACACAGAGAAATTCTCTGTGAATTTCCCAAGCCTAAGTGGCACTTCTAGGATACAACCTCTACACCTAAGGCTCATGGAACATAGAAAAAGCCATGAAGAGAACATTAGTGTATCTTTCAATTCTCATCAATGAAGCTCCTTCATGCAACAGAGGACCAGGAACACGATGGCCAAAACAGAGAATAAGAGTAGGCAGAGTGTGCGGGCACGGACAGGACTCCTAAATTGAGGTCCAACCACCAGGGCTCAGGGACCATTGAAGAAGAGGGGGGCAGAAAGTTTACATGAGTCAGAAAGGGGGTTCATGACCATACAGAAATAGTCCTACAGGTGCCAGGGACCCTTCCCATACAGATATACAGCAATGGTGTCAGCATGCACAAGACCCATGCAAATTTGGGTAGACAAAAACTCAGCACAGAGCTATTGAAATGAACGGCAAGCCCCAAACTTATTTGAAAAATGGTTGATAGCTGATTACTGCTGGGTGAGGAAGAGCTGATCTTTTTGAAAAGAGAGACTCTAAATAGACTGACTAGACCCTGGTGGATGAACTTGCACTGAGGGACATCTTTGGACACTAACTTTACATAATAGGCCTTAATACAAATAAATTTGAAAAATAAAAAAATACAGATGTTTTCTCCACCTAAGTAATGTTCATTCTGTATTTTCATTCTACACAGTATCATATTACCAAAGAACATTATGTACATTGATTATATTACCTCTCAAACTCCTTTACTCTCCTCCTGAATATAAATTTCATATATGCATTTGGATCCACATATGACACATGGTGTGCAGGGTTTTCCTAGACAGCTGGAAGGAAAGAGCAGGTTTGATGGATCAATCTAATTAAGCAGTGCCAGACCTGCTCATGGGTTACTCTATGGTCCTCAGGAGGAGAGTGGAAGAACAGAGCTACAGAATCCAAATCTGTGTCCATTTTACCCAAAGTTGATATTGGGGGACAGATCAAGAGGGTTTGGGCAATGGAGGGGACACATTCTCAGAAACCGAGAGTGAAGAGTTTAAAAGAAAGAGTGAAATGTGACCACAATCAAAGCAGAATACACAACTGTAAGAAAATTTCACAGTACAGTAACAAAATGCACTATTTTCTCCAATTAATATACGAAAATTTATACAATTAATATATACAGAAGAAGATATACTGATGTCATCCAAAGGTCCTGATAAATTCTGTAAATACAGAATAAAGAAAGTTTCTTTAGCAGTTCACATCTGAACCACTTAGTTGAAGTCATTTTGCTTTAGAATTGATAACGTTGAACAAAGGCCAGGGCAGCAGCTCTGCAAGTTAAACTGCCAGAGGAGTTGCCATTGTCACAACAGAAAGCGATTTGTGTCTCACTTCCTCATCTGCCTGTGTCACTGTGCCAACTTTATCAGTGCTATCCCATCTGTTACAGTAATAATCAGCCTCATCCTCAACTTGGGCTCTGCTGATGGTCAGGGTGGCCATGTTTCCTGAGCTGGAGCCAGAGAACCGGTCAGGGATCCCAGAGGGACGCTCACTATCTTTATATATGACCTGCACAGGGGCCTGGCCTGGCTTCTGCTGGAACCACTGAATATACTTCTCTGACAGTTTATCCCCAGAGCAGGTGACTATGGCTCTCTGCCCTAGGTTCACTGACAGTGCAGGAGGCTGAGTCAGTACATAGGAGGCCAAGGAACCTGGAAGAGAGGAGAGGGGAAGCACATTGAGAGTGGGGAATCTTTTCCAAGGGGCCACCCAAGCACTATGCTGGGAAAGCAGTTTAGGGTTCTGAGAAGCAGGCAGGCTCAGGGTTCCGAGTAGGCTGAACCCGGTGAAAGAACCTGGCCAGGTTACCTGTACACAGAGAGAGGAGAGGGAGGAGCAGAGTGGTCCAGGCCATGGTGGAGATCTCAGAGCTCTGAGTCTTGAGACTCACAGTACAGCTGGGCTCCTGAGGCCTCTCTTATTGTCTCTCAGGTCCTTTAAAGGCAGAGTGTGTAGTCATAATGCAAATTTCTTTCCCCTGAGGCTCCCCATTTGGACCCACATAGAGAACATTCCCCACAACTGTAGGATAGAACACAATATTAAGGTTATTTATTCACTGACAGAAAATCACTATAACCTTCTTTGACCACTGATCACAGTCACCTTCCAGATATTCAACCCCCATCAGGGTCTTGACCCTGCTGACCTGTGTTCAGCAAGGCTATGGGCTTTCATCAAACTGTCCATGGGCTGAGCTAGATCCTGTTGAGAACACTGTTGACACCTGGCACAGGAGAAGAGGGACCACTGCCCCTCACCTTCTTCCTGCTCCTTCTCTCTGAGTCAAAAATCTTCAATTTTGTCCTTCCTTGTGATTTCAATATAATAAAGTTTATGTCATTGTGATTTGTGATGAAAATTTTCCTTTTTATTTTGCTTAGTAAAAAAACTCCTGCTTTTTATGTTGCCATGAAATGTGCAGTTTCATTTTTCACGTAGTGTGTGCTCACTCTGACTTCATTGTTCCTACAGTTGATCAGCATGTTTATTGTCATCTCTTTATAAGTGTCAGAAGCAAGATCTTCCCAAGAAACATAGGCCAGTCCCTGTAGTTTGTGTGAAGGGCACCATGGACAGGGTTCAACAGAGCTGACGTTTGCACTGTAGATAATCAGAAAGACTGAATCAAGGAGAATCCTGACTCTGATCGACTACATCCAGCGTCACAGGTATGCCTTGAATTAGTGGTGTCCAGATCATTTTGCAGATTCTCCAAAGAAACCTGCAGAAGCTGCATCCAGGGACAGAGTCCACAGTTCCTCCTTCTCTGAGGTCTACTGTGCCTCAGCACAGTGTCTTCAGCCTGATGGCAAATGTGACAGTACATGCCAGGAGAGACAAGAGAGGAGGAGCAGACCTTTCTGGAATTTCCCAAGAGTGATGGATAAGCACTAATACTACTCCGTGACAGTGAGAAAGGCTGCCAGGCACAGGCCAAAGACCCTGTCATCCATTTTGCTTTAAGGACACAGGCCTTAGTGGTCCATCATCTCATGCTGTATTCCCTCCTGGAGCCCCTGAACCCTGGGGTGATCTCCTCAATGGCTGTCAGCTTTAAGGAGCTGCCCAAGCTCACATTTGGGATTTTCTGTGCCAGAGCATTTCCTTAGTTTGTCCCTGCCTGGGTTCAGTGTTTTGCCAATGTTCTGGAGTGAGATAGAAAATATGACCCTCAGCATATGGTCACTGATGAACAAAAATTGACCCTTTGAATCTTGCTGAACTTTCTGCCAGCATCACATCTTAAACTCACCCTGAGTGGCCAAGTCTGTCCTGAAGCAGCAACTCTGCTGCCCCCTGCTGGCACAAGATCAAGGAGAGGAACTTCCCTCCTTCTGATGACAAAGTATTTTTTACCTAATGAGGGAAGGAGACCAGCCCTACTGTGTGTCACCTCTCTCCCCAGCCTAGTACAGAGATGTTGTGTCTGTGTTCCGAGGAGAAGCAGGACAGGATCAGTCCATGTAACCTATCCCTAGGCTGAAAATTCACCTTGCTAGAATTGTTCTTTTCTCTCTTTCTCCTTCTCATTGGGTTTTAGCAAGAGTCTCCCACTGTAATTCTACCTGGGCTAGAATTTACTATGTAGTACAAGCTGAGTTTAAACATTTCCATCTCCTACCTCAGCTTTTTGAATGCTTGGATTACAGGAAGGAGATATTACTTTTAATATATAATTTTACTAATTTACTTATTTATTTTTGTTCATATTATGGGGGCAAATGATAAAAGAAGTGTGGAAGAAACACAGACATCCACAGAAGTGTTCTGAGAATCTTTTGTTCATTGTCCATTTACATGTTTAGGAAGGTAGACTGATGCTGCCACACAAGGTTAAGGCAAATTGTTGCCACAGGTGACATCTGAAGCTTCTGTAACCAATGCCAAGCTTTGTACCGAAATCATTGTTATAGGTTGGAGTTTGCAAAAAAAAAAAAAAAAAATCACCAGCACCACTTTAAGAAAAGTAGCAAGGTAAACGTTCATTATTTCGACGGGACGGACTGTCTATCTCAGGAGTAGACGCAGCCCTGATCATTGTCGGGTCAGAGTTTTTAAAGGAGCACAGAAATATTATTCGAACAAGACACTTGTGAACCAATCAGGTTTGTACAACATCGCAGAACTTTGAATCTATTAGTCAACAACCAATCATTATACAGACAAGTGATATAGTCATATAACTTGGCAATCAACTTTGTAATTTTAAAATTAGTCAACTTCCTAGACATAACAAGTATAGTAAGAAAGCTGAAATCAGCAGTTACCAGTGGTCATACAATAACAGGGCAGTCTTATACTGTGTGTCAAGGTGACCTAAAATAGCAAGCGAGTTACAGAAGCAAAAACAAGCAGTTAGCCAGATGTAGGATGTCTGAGATTAGCATGCTCCACTGGTTTGTGATCAAGCTATTTCTTAGAACTCAAGGCTGCTGTCTCTTTTTAAATATTTCCCATAGGTGAAAAGAAGTTAGTGTTAAAATAGCTATTCTGAGCAAGATGGAGTAACTTAAGTTGCTAATATAGTTCATTCCCCCCTCTGTTGCAAGTAAGGTTAATTGTTTGACCTGGTTAGGTTAAGCTTTCTTTTTGTATTTCTTCAATCACCACAAGTTGATTGTACTGGCTTCTTAATATCATGGTTTTAACTGCCTGGGGCTTTTGATTAATGAATCTTACAAAAGCATTTAGGAGGCAGAGCCCAAGAGTAAATATTAGGAGAATAAGGACCAAGGGCCCTGCAACAGTACTTAACAATGTAGTTAGCCAGGGTGACCAGGAAAATAAGGATGCATACCAATTCTGGTGATTAATAAGTTCCTGTTCTCTGGCATTAATTTGTTGTTGGACCAATCTAATGCTATCTCTGATAACTCCAGTGTGATTAGCATAAAAGCAACATTTCTCACCTAATGCCATGCATAAACCATCTTGTTGCCTAAAAACAAGATCTAGCCCTGGATGGTTTTGTAACATTACCTCAGACAAAGAATCAAGGGAGTAAGCTGAGTTTTCCCACAGTTATACCAGGAGTGCCATGCTGAAAGGAATTCCATTTATCCTTTGATCCGATCCAGAAAGCAAATGTCTCACAACCTCAACTTCCATAATGCCATTCATTTTCACAGTTACAGTCTGGACTCCCATCTGCTGGGCATCCATGAACTTGTAGGATTTGCAGTTGTTTCTCATGACACAACATCCCCAGGGTCAAGGAGATGGGACACAAATAGTTACTCTTACTTGTAAAGAAAACAGATAACAAAAGTCAAACTGAAAGCTGGGGAGTGGATAGTGGTAGTGTTAGTGGCTAAGATCTTACCACCTGAAGTTCTTTTTAATACCCAATTATCAGGGGATGGCTCATGGGGATTTCAGTCGCTATACCCAGTTACAGTTTTTATTATCCAGAAGGAGAACAAAAGAATTAATATTCTTTTATCAGTTTTACTTTGAGAGAATTATCTGTTCTTTTTACCATTCATGTTTGAGGAATGTGGTCCGGATGAGCTCTCTTAACTTGGGAACGGTGAATCCAGTGGGCACATGCAGCAACTTTAACAGCAGTTCAAGTCAGCAAGATGATTGGGTATGGACCAGCCCGCTTGGGTTCGAGGTTAGGTGTTTGATGTCTGCAGACCCAAATCCAGTCACCAGGTTCCAGATCTGTCTGTTCAGTGGTCAGTGAGGGATGACTGGGCTCATGAGCCTCCTGCACTAGTCCATGTACCTGGCTCAGAGCATTTTGCAGAGCCTGCAATAACTGTAAAAGGCTGTAATTAGATATTTCCGCCAGGTGTTCCTCCCATAAGTGGGGAATAAGGGGTGGAGGTCACCAAAACATGATCTCAAAGGGAGTAATTCCTATCACATAGGAGTACATCTGGCTTTTAGAAAGGCAAAAGAGTACTTACCCAGTTACCATCAGTCTCTGTTATTAACTTAGTCAAAGTCTCCTTAACAGTTCTATTCATTCTTTTCACCTGTTCTGAACTCTGGGGGTGAGATGCACAATGTAATTTCCAATCTGGAGGACAGAAGCTAAGGTTTTAGATACACAAGCTATGAAAGCTGGGCCATTGTCAGACTCCAGACCAATAGGGATGCCAAATTGAGGTATAATCTCATTTAGTAGCTTCTAGGAGAGCAAGGGTTTGTTTTTTTGAAGAGGTAACCCAATTTGCCCATGGGGAATCAGAATGCAGATTGCTCTGGCTTCTTCCATGCTGAACAGGGATGTAGGGTGTGGCAATTAGGGTACCTCTTCAGTGGGCCTATTTAAAACACTCTCAAATTGAGACATGAAGGAGAAGTAAAGGCAAGAATAGTTAGCATTACAAGTTCTAGACAGGGAACCAGAAAAAAATCAGAACAGGGCAAACTTTAAACACTCAAATTAAAGTCCATTGGAATTTTCTGATGAGGGCTTTCAAAAGCATCCACCTATTGAGTTCTTTTTCATTTTTCTTTGGGCTGCCAAGACTGGACTCGAGAGCGATGAACTTAGGATTTGTTTTCAGGTACTCTGATAGCTGTTGGAGTGACTAGAATCAGTAGATAGGAAGTCAAATAAACTTAATCATCATTTTAGAACAATAGCAGCTGTAGGTGGGCACTGTAGTACTGGAGACCAAGATCTGAAGTCTTAAACCTGAGCAGTATTTTCTTAAGAACAAAATCATTACTGAGAAATAATTGTCTAAATAACATTTTACCTGAACTTAAGTCTAATGTCTTGGAAATACAATCCTTTGCATTCTTAAAGAAATATACTGATTATTTTAATTTTTCGTTATACTTTCCTTTTGGGTGTTCAAGACCATACAGTTGGCCCAAATAAACCATTTTTTGTTTACTTTAAGGTCGGTTGAGGATCTGGTCTTTGGGGATCATGTGGGCTTAGGGAGGGAGCCCCTGGCTCCTTTG